GATTAGTTTTTTTTTATCAAAAAACTTTATTTATGCGAGTACTATTTATTGTTGGCAAGAAAAAATTTTGTGGCTCTAAAAACTTGGAAATTTTGTAAATTGTAATTTTTGGCTCTTCCGACTGAAAAGGTTGCCGACCCCTGTACTTGACCTACCTGTTGTTTGAAATTTAGCACCTACGGCCAACCATAAACGTTGTTCAAATACTGATGTGGTCGAACGGATTCGATAAACTCCTCTATTTCATTTATCTTTCGTTTTTTCCAGACTGTCACAATTGTAGGGTTAACCCTCATTGCCGCCATTGTTAGAATAAAAACCACGTGTCTACTTTCACGTCACAGAAAAGACTTGTCTTTATTGGAGGAATTTCGGCGTAAAAAGTGGAGACACGCTCTACTCGATTTTCAGTTCTGTTTCGGCCAGAATTTTTACGTTTTCTCTTTTATGCTAGATTACGCGCGCGTGTTCCTGGCCTTAGGCCGAGACTCCGCTAGCGTAAAAACCCCGGCCGCAAATACTTTTAATGGCTTAACCGTTTGCCTTTGCGCTCCGCTAGCCAAATGTTTTACTCGGACGGTACTATCGAAGTTACTATTGTCTCGATATAAGGACGATAACTATATTGTGCCATTTTTTCTACTATAATTACAAATGTAGTAAAAATAATATCTTTACTTTGGTATGTAAATTAAGGTACTATACTGCACTTACACTTTTAGCATTTTCAATATATACTAGTCTAAATAGAAGGATTTTCCTTTGGCATTCGTTATTACAATAGGGATACGCGATAAATCTTTCTAGATCTATTAGTTGCGGGTCTGTTCCAAGTTGCCCCGAGACAACGTACGTAAAAGCTCGGTTTCCCGCCGACGGTACCGCCACTTGGAAAGGCCAACGGCTTTAGTCTGGTTTTTACGCTAGTGCCTTACTGGCGGTAGAAAAACTGCATCCTGCACGGAGGAGCGATATACGATCCCGCGATTAATGAGTATCGGGAGTCGCACTTCTTACGTAATTTAATATTCGTACGAATTACGCTAATGCTGACGCGCCGGAACAAAAAGGTCGTCGGTAAAAATATTTTGACACCAGAAGTAAATAAATACCGGACGGAGGACAAAGAGCCGGAAGACGACGATACTTGGTAAAAAAGCATAACTAAAATTAATATTAACGCGTAATACGGTACTTTCGGAGGTGGCAATTAATCGATTATCCGCGGCTATAATCAAGGCCGCGCTTACGTTAATTTCCGGAACGCCGTCCGGCGTTTTGCTCCGGTCCTCGGGTTCGTTCGGCACCGTTTGGGAACGCGGATTTTCGGAAAGCCTTTCGTTACCCCTCACGGGGAGGCGGGCCCCTTTAGCCGGCAACCGTTCCCACGTACAGTACGTAAGAAGTAGACTAGGCGCGGGGGAGAAAGAGTGGGGTTCGTTTCTCTTTACAACGGTCTAACTCGTACGTACGAAGCGGTGAAAAATTACCTCGGCTCGCCCGGAGCGGGCGGAAGGGTCCCGCCGGCGTCGCCGGGTAAACAAGGCTCCGGCTGTGCAAAGAGACTGAGTAAACGGCCCGCCCGTACCGCGCCGACCCGACCGACAGTCTCCGGCGGATCGCGGGCGGTAAGTCTCGTTCTTGCCTTTTTATTTCGTTTTTAGCCTTTTAATCGGGGAAGAGGGCGATTTTACGCCCGGCGTAACGAAAGGCCCACCGGGAGATAGGAGTCGGCCGCGGGCCGGAAGGCTCGGACGGGTTGGATAAATTCCCGGGAATTGCCTAAAATGTCGGGGAAAAGCTGGATTACGGTGGGTGTTCGGCCCGAGTTAGGACGTCGACCTTCGACCCGGGGCCGTCCTAACTCGGAAACTCTCCGACAATCCCGGCCTTTAACGTTTACCGTTTGGAAAAAGAGAATTTCTAACGGTCTCGACCGGACGATATTCCATTAAATACATCTTTTTGCCGTCTCGTTCTTTAGTTCTCGCCCGGTTTTTAAGTTCGAAAGGTCGAACTTTGTTAGCGTTTTGGCACAAAATTTGGAATTCCGTTCGGAACCCGGCACCCGAAAGTTAGATAAACCACCGACACCACTCTATGGCTAAGGGAAAGGGTTGCCGATTTTTTGTTTCGAACGGGACGTGGAGAGTCCGGGTTTCGGGTACTCTACCATATTGTTATTTTACTACGGAAAATCCTTCTCCATTCGAACCTCCCAGCGAAAATTCTGCCCGGAAGGCCGGGCTTTTACCACCGGCCCGTTTTTCTCTCGTCTGTAAAATAGTTCGAGCTCTCTGTCCAAACGGAATTGGGCCGGAGATCCCCTAAAACTATATAACGCCGACGGTTAACGGTCGCGGAGGAAGCCGCCTAATTTGGGGGGCCTTAACCGCGAAAAGGGCTGTACTATAGATTATTACCACCTATGGAATTTCGGCACTTTGAGTATATTAAGCAGGCGACACCGTAGTTGCTATACCGCCATCTTGCGATAACATCTGCGAACCATTAAAAAAAGCACTGCGATAACTTCCCCGTTGAACTCGTCTCGGTCCCCTCACTTCAAATATAACTGAGGGGACCGAGACGAGTTCAACGGGAAAGTTATCGCAGTGCTTTTTTTAATGGTTCGCAGATGTTATCGCAAGATGGCGGTATAGCAACTACGGTGTCGCCTGCTTAACTTCCATTTTGAAAATGAACTTGCTAGAAGTAGTGAAAGATAAGAAAACACGCATCGAGTCTCCTTCGTAATAGATGCAGAGAGTGGATGAAATTACGAGTGTTCATCGAAGAGAAAGATGTTTTGAGCAACGGAAAGCTTTTCGCAGCGCATCCGTCATCTCCCGGAGGGATAGGTTAGGTTTGTTGGACGAGCCGACCGCCAGCGACCGCAGACAATCGACATCTGCCTCTGTTGAAGGTATATACGGCCGACTTGCCGGACTGCCTGTTAAGCCTGGTACTCGCGTGCGTCGACGGAATGGCAAAATGACGTCACTTTTGCCGTGGCGGAAAGCGGAACGGCAAAAGTTAGACCAATAGGAAGGCCGTTTAGCGATGTCGTCGTAAAGATCACGAGGGACGATAGCGTTCGAACTATGGCGGTCGGCGAGCTAATAAGCTTTATTTGTACACTAATATATTTCGTTTATACGCTGTATTACTATCCGATTTAAATATTAATATCAAATAGACTTACCGTATGAAACTGTGAGATTTGTGGGGTAAGAGAAACATCCACGCACATCTTATTTGACTGTATGCGATACGAAAAAATAAGAAACGAACTAAAATTAGTTTATAATAAAGAAGGTTACAATTGTCCTATTAGGAAAAGTAGCCTTATAAATAATGTTAACATATACAGTAATATCCCGAACTTACGCGATAAGTGGGACCGAGCGGTAACCGCGTAGGTCGGGGTATAATTTCGCATATAAATACATACAAATCATTTTTAATTGGGGCCGGAGACTAAAGAAAACAATAATGTAGAAAAAAATGTTTGATAAAAACTTAGATAATACATATGTATAACAAATTAGGCTTATAGTATTTTACAATTTTTTCACATTTACTCGATTATTACGCCATAATTTTAACATTGTTTCCATCTCGGCGATAATACCGTGACGTTTACGAATGATGCTGGAATTTAAAGATCGAGCATTTTTCGCAGCTTCGAGAATTTTTTCTTTGCCTTTTATAATTGTTCTGACCGACAATTCCGGTAGATCAAACTTCTTTGCCAATTCACAAATTTTCATTTTTGTATCCAAGTCTTTAATTAATAATGCGTACGTTCGTAAAGTCAAACGAGTGAAACGCGTTAGTAACGAATCGTTCGAAAAGTCTAACGAAATAGGAATAACGATGACGTCATTCTCGCTTAACTCGTTCGACTTTACGAACGTACCCGATGTTAACTTTACATTCCAAAGATAAAGTTTTTCTTTTCTTGTTCGATGCGGAAGAATTAGTTCTACTTCGTTTGGATGACGTAGTAGAGTCTCTCGAGTCTCCGCAGATATAACAAACACAGAAATAAATAACACAAAATAAATTGTAGCTATGTGTGGATACTGCGCGACACATCCGAACGCGTCAGTTGAACAATAGTGTGGGGGGAGTGAGTAATCGAGGGTTGCGTGGCGCTCAAACAAAAGACGAATTTGAAAATCGCGTAAGTCGGGGTATTACTGTATTATTATTTCAATGAATTTATAAAAACAGAACATAAAAATTTCTCTCGTTGATCATTGTCAAACTAATGATATCAAATACTTTACTCGACAAAACAATATAATTAATGCAAATAAAAATAGAATTGTCGGGTATTAATGTATTGAGGCTACGGCCGCGACTATGTAATCTTAACTACCCGCAAAATGTATGCGAATCGGGGTTAATTAAGAGAGGAGTACCTCGAGCCGGTAGCATTTAATGCTACGGTCGGAGGGAGTGCTCCACTAAATGAAAAAAAAAATTAAATGAAGACTTACTTACTGTGTAAAGTATTGGGAATGGAATAATCGTAATTCGGTGACGAAAGTATTCGATATTCCTAACTTTCGACGATTTAGAATATGTTTCTTACCCAAATTATTCATTTTTTGTGACTTTTTTATTTGCGTTAAGATTGAAGGTAAACTTAAAAAGTTTAATTGTAGAAGCCAATTGTAAGGTAATTTCCACATGTGAGTACCAGGCTTTAAACACGCGATAGGCTTAGCGGAGAAAGTGACGCGACTCCCGATCATTACGCAATCGCCGGAAAAAGTATGATAACTTTCTTATTTTTCATTTTCGGTCCAAAAGTAGGGTATCGTTGAACTCGACTCGGTCCCCTCGGTTCAAATATATATTCAAAGTCCCAAAATTCCATAGGTGATAATCTATAGTATCCCTGCGAAAAGTCCGAGAAACTGCACCTCTGGGTGTGCGAGCCCTTTTGGCACCGCTGTGTAATTCACTCTGGACTTTTGCTTATTTAGCGTCAAGGAAAGCCACCAGATGGCGGAAGCCAACCGAGAAAAGAATCGACGAGTGAAAGAAGCTTTTGGTATCAGTCCGTTTTTCGTAGAGGGCAGTTCCCTGGATCCCGATCGGAAAAGAAAGGAGGCGGCGGCGGCCGCCGCCGCTCTGGCTGAAAAGAATAAACAGTATGGGTGAGTGTGTGTTTTTTTTGTCGGCATTTGCCTCCCTCTCGCCTCTAATGCTTTCATTTGGCGTCTTGCAGGTTGGTGAAAGACGACGACGACGATGACGATTCACCCCCTCTGGTCGGAGAGAAAGAAAAAGCCAAGAAGAAGAAAAAGTGCAGAGAAGGGTGAGTCTTGACTTTGGACCCGTTTTCTTTTGTCGCGTGCTGCCAGAAATTGTTGTCGTCGGCCGTGTAAAAAACCTTCCGCTTCCGGTCCCTTTTTTTACCGTCGGAGGCAACTTTGCCTTCAAATTCGACAATAGAGAGGTTGCGGCCGACATTTTCGTGTTGAAAACTTCGGCCGTAACCGTGCTATAAACGTATGGAAGAAACTCTGAGTCTTTTCCTTCTTTGTTTTTTCTTTAAGTCTCTCTCCCAATTATGATGACACCATCGAACCTGTTGATAGGTGCCGTGACCGGGTCGGTCTTTCTTTTAATTATTATTAGTGACTGTCGACGGTGTCTGTGCAGTGGACTTTTTGTTGGTGCGTCGAAATTGTGCCCTTTTAAATAAATACATGGTAATTTAATTTTACTTTGTTTTATCAATAGAAAAAAAAAAAAAAAACAGAATAAGAAACTGTTTCATATATGCATTTTCACTTCTGTTTTGTAGTTAATCGTACATAAGTTTTAATTTGTAGTTAATGTGCACGTAGTGCACAAAATCAGTTGTACACTACAGGTAACCCTGATTAACATGGGAGTTACGTTCCAAAAAATTGCCGTGTTATACGAAAACAAAGAACTAGTGCAAAAAAGGGGTTAGGTTCCAAAAATTAAAAAACATGCTGTTAAATCCTTATTTAAATTGGATTTATTATTCATTTTTTCATAGGTAAAATTCTTATTTATTATTTAAGTAAATATTTTACCAGAGGATTATTCATCCTATATGATGATCTCAGCATGAGCATCATCAACTAGTAACAGTTTGTGGGTGCATTCGTTAATAACGGTCGCTCTGCAATGGGAGTGTGCTGCTATTTGTAGGCATTTAGGAATGACAGTGAAAGAAAGATGGCGATGCTCACACTATTGATAGTATCGTGATGGAGGAATCTATAATTTTAAAATGAGCTTTTAGAGGCAAAAGAAGGGTCCCAATTGTAAAATTTAACCATTAAATGGATTATTGTTGAAAGAGCATTGAAAGTAGCCACGAAAACAATTAGAATGCTCGCGCGGAGGTATAAAGAACACACACTTTATTACATTTCATGTTGTACGAGGGTTTTACCCAATTCCCGAACCGCATTAGAGTGAACCTGTGCTATAAAAGCACCATGTTATACGCGGATGTTCCCGATTCTTGAACCGTGTTAGAGTGAATCCGTGCTATGGGGCCGTCCATAAATTATGTAAGGGCGATTTTGGCCATTCTAGACCCCCACCCACCCCTGTGTAAGAAAAAGTAATATTTTCTTTGATCCCCCCTCCCTTTCCCTATCTTACGTAATATTCTGGCATGATTTTATAAAAAGATTTTAACCAAAAAAATTTTTTTATAAACCTTAAAAATCTTAGGTCCAAAATATATAATTATTAATTAGTTAATTAATATGTACTATTATTTATAAAAGACTTTAGGTGATCAAATTTAAAAATATAAAAATTTAATGAATTTGAATGAACAATTTATTTTAAGAACTTTATTTTTTAATTATTAACAATATTAATATTATTATTATTATCATTAATCAACGTCAAAATATTTATTTTTATATTAATTTTAATTTTCACAAAAGACGCAAAAAACTTCGCCAGATCGACTAGTTAGTGCATGTGTAAACAGAAAAGTCATACAAAATAAAACAAGAGAGAATAGAGAGAAACCACATTTCGTTGCCATATTGATTACATCTTGTCTAAGGCCAAGAAAATAAACTACATGCTGCGAAAATGTGATAGGTGCACCTGGGGACTAAATAATAAAGCTTATAAAACTCTATATGATGGGGCAATACAACCAATGCTATTTTACGCAGCCTCTGGCTGTGGTCATGTAACTAGTAAAAATTCAGTAGCAAGTAAATTACACTCTCTTCAAAGCCAGTTTGCCACCAGAATTATAAAGTACTGCAGAACTGTTATTACTAATGCCTCTCTGATACTAGCAGAGCTCCTTCCTTTGCCACTACAGATTATAGAAAAGGTTCTAAACTACATCAGAACTACAAACGTCAAGGCTCAACAACGGTCTCTACTCCTATCTACGGTTGTTCATACGCTACCACATTGCAATTACCCTACTCTCTCTGATCATCATTCTGTAAACAAGGTTTTTTTGGTGTCATCTGCTTTCTCCGTGGATAATCTTGCAGGCATCAATATCTACACAGATGGGTCCAAAAGCTTCCTTCTTGTCGGCTCAAGTATCTCTATCTTTCTCCAAACTTACATATTTTGCCAAAAATATGTTAGAAGGTACAGATACAACCCATATACCTTCATCTATCAAGCTGAACAAGATGCTGACTACCAAGCTGTTCAGTGGGCCACTTCACTACCAAACAAAACTCTGTCTATCAACATTTATAGTGATTCTGTCTGTCCTGAAAGCTGTATTAAATCCCAATTGCAATAGAATAAAATCGCATATATCCAGCACCATATTAAAAATCTTGTATATAAGATAATTTTTATATTTGTTCCTGGCCATACTGGCGTACTAGGAAATGAAAATGCGAACACTGAAGCTAAGTCAGCTGCAAAGGAAACTGACTCGGACTACACTCACATCCCTCTCTCATGTAGCAGCCTTAAAAATTATATTCATGACAACGCTATGCGAAAGTGGAATCAGTAAAAGTAGTTGAGCAGTAAAACTTGTAGAATAACACGACTTTATTTTCCTACTGTTGAATGTAGGTTCTCATCACTACTTAGCGATTTAATGTTTGCTACTGCTCAACTATTTACTGAGCGTGGTAATTTTAGAAGCTACCTGGCGATGTATAACCAGGCAGAAACTGCTTGTTGCTTTCGCTCTACAGAAAACCTAGACTTCGTTGACCACGTGATTTATCTTTGTCCATAATAATAATAAACAATGCTTTTTGCCCGCGACTGTAAATTAGACAGAATTAGATAACCCAACAATTAGGGTATAACGTTTTGCAGGGCTTATCACACCAAGGCCGACTGGAAGAAGGACCAGAACTTTATAAAAAAGGTTTGGTCTTTAATAATCACATATCAAATTTAGGTAAGTATGCATTTCGGGTACAAGGACCCCTCATCAGCTTACAAACACATGGCAACAACGTAACAAATACAATACCAATAACCTGTCGGTACAACGGGGTAATCAACATATGCAGTGCACTGCATTTACAAATTATCAAAGTAACTTATACACTAAAACTAAATTATCAAGTATAAATCAGCATCCAATGACAATGTGGTATCACATATTATCTCCACCCGTAAATGTCTTAGTTTCTCCTACATTTTCCAAATTCTGGTAGACGGTTACACTATTAATAATAAATATTGTTAAGTATATTAAAACCTAAACAAAAGAAGGGGAGAGGAATCCAACAATGAACTTACTCTTATTAAACCAATTGGTCTCCAAATTTTAACACAAAACAAAATACAACTAATCTATAAGCCTTTGTGAAGTCAACTGCACTGTCCATCTGCATTTTACAAGGTGATGTGCCTAAACTCCCCACATCTGTTCAGCATCTGTTTCAAGGTTAAGTGAAAACAATGTCAATCCACCCCTCATGTAGCTTCAGTCCCATGTTGTTATTAATTCTGATGTCTTCCTGTATCTTCAGAATTTCTAGGTGTTCCTGTAGTCTTCTTTTAAGTTGATTGTTTTCTGTCATAATACACTTGATGCTATCTTTTAAAATTTCACAACCTTCAGTGTTGCAATGTTGTGCCACTGATGATGATATTAAATTATTTTTGATGGCATATATATGTTCTTTAATTCTTGTCTTTAATTTTCTACCAGTTTCCCCTACATATCTTTTTTTATGTGAACAACTGCAATCTAATGAGTAAACTACATTATCTTTTTCTAAAACATTATGTTCAATGTTACCATGTTTACTGTTTAGCAAATTTGCTATGGTGCTTTTGTGGTTTGGTACTAAAATAATATCTAATCTTTTTAATTCATTTTTTAATTTTTCAAAAACACCAAAAACATATTCTATTTTTAGGTACACAGTCTTAACATCTATTGGTTGTCTATTTAACGATATATTTTTCCTTTTGCCTTTACTTGCTTCCAACCACTTAATCAATAATGTTCTAGGGTAATTATTTAGATTAAACATTCTTATTATATTTTGTATTTCCATTTCTTGATCAGTGTGCAAGGTCGTTCTTTCTTTAATTTTGTTGATATACATTTGAAAAGTGTTCTTTTTTATATATAAAGGTATATTAGATTTGAAGTCAATAACTTTATCGGTAGCACAGTCTTTAACATATTTTTTAAATAATAATTTGCCATTTAATCTAACAACAGTAAGATCTAAGTAATTCAGTCTATTATCTACTTCTTTTTCACATTGAAATTGGACATTTTTATTTATTAAATTAAT